TGTAAGAAACATATGTTTGATTCACACAGGATGCTAAATAAATATTCCTTTAGGCCCTACTTTACCCTGATCCCCACTCCTTGAGACATGATTTTGGGACATCCAGAAAAAAAATGGCCTATAGCCAGCTCTGAAAATAGATAAAACTGGTGATAGTACAGATATTTTTCATGGAGAAGGCCAACTTCAGGAAGCAGATGTTAAATTAGGGGTCAGATGAGTTAATGACAATGGCTGTGAGGAAGATGGCTGAGAGAGGCACTAATGTTTACTGAGCAATCACTACATGCCAGGAACTGAAGTGTTCTCTCAAAGAACTAGACTTCAAGAGCTGGTTCTGATAGGAAGCAGGACCAAGGTATAGCTGAAGAAACTTGGAGAGTTGTATTTTCCTCACTTTTCTTTTCTTCATTATACTCTCACCATGTCTTTTTTAAACTGGTTAGAATAGAAAACAAGTGTATTTTTATTGGTTGATTGCTAAAATATGGGCTTATATCAATTTTTAATTCCAAAAGCAGTAAGACTGTAAAAAGCACTAGAAAGAGGGAGACTGTATTAAGACTTTACCCTGCGACTAACTAGCCATATAACTAAGAACATACCACAGACATATCATGTATCAGGTTACCATTTCTGGAGTTTCTTTTGTACTTGACTATATCATGGGTTGATGGTCAAGGGAAAATATTGTATTTTAGAATACATACAGAAGCAAAATTTTGGTGGGGTACTTACAGAAGGACCCAAATATCTTAGCTCTTTCCAAATAGTAAGCCTACCAGGAAAGCACAAAAGATGATTTGAAGTATTAAGCAGCTATTCAGTTCATACACACTTTACGGGTCTAAAACTTCAAAAGTTCTCAGTATTTCTTCCCCTAATCCTCCATTATTAGCATCTCCTTGTCTATGTCCTAACTCCAAAACTGGTTCTTTCTCAAATATTTCTTGGCAATACACACATATTTCTGAATATAAGGTTCTAGTCATTATAGCTAGGGTCAGAAAGTAAACGTCTTCTTAGCAAACTGAAGTATTATTTTAGTTATAATTTAGGTATAAGCGGCTCAGTTTTCAATAACAAAGAATACACCAAATTCATGGCAGATGGCCCTGCATCTTTCAATCTAATTTGGTTGGAGACCAAGGGTTAAAACATATATAAATAGGTTACATATTAGAATATCAAATGAAAAATACTGAATGCTGTGAAATAGGATTTCATCTTTTGTATGCAGCAAATAAGCTGCTTTAAACATAGATGGTAAACATCTCCCAGTTAATCCTAGGTATACTGTTTTAATATTCCTAACGTAGCACTTCTGAGATGTTCTTCATTCCTTGACATATTTTGCCTGCTATCATAATTCTGGAAAAAATATGCATCAATTTAGTCACTCAGTCACATCCGACTCTTTGTGACCCCATGGACTGCAGCACACCAGACTTCCCTGTCCATTACCAACTTCCGGAGACTGCTCAATCTCATGTCCATCAAGTCGGTGATGCCATCCAACCATCTCATCCTCTATCGTCCCCTTCTCCTCCTGCCTTCAATCTTTCCTAGCATCAGGGTCTTTTCCAAGGAGTCAGCTCTTCCCATCAGGTGGCCAAAGTATTGGAGTTTCAGCTTCAGCATCAGTCCTTCCAATGAATATTCAGGGTGGATTTCTTTTAGGATTGACCAATTTGCTCCCCTGGCTGTCCAAGAGACTCTCAAGAGCCTTCTCCAACACCACATTTCAAAAGCATCAATTCTTCGGCACTCAGCTTTCTTTATAGTCCAACTCTCACATCCATACATGACTACTGGAAAAATCATAGCTTTGCAAGATTTATACTCTGTATCAAAGCACACCTTAGGGCAGATTGGTAGTGAGATCTTAATGATACAGTGGTATATTCTCAAATATGGACTCGGATATAGTGTCTTTGAAGTATACAGGAATTTGATGCTGATACCATTTCTTTGTTTTAACATAAAACAAAAGCAATGGGGAATAAAGAAGTACTGTCAAAAACTTGGTTCAATATGGGAAGAGAACCTAAGTCTGATAATGGAGTGAGAGCTTAAACTCATAGGATATGGAAAAGATAACTTTTAAATATCTGTTATTTTCCAGAGTCAGCAAGTTCTATAGAGTGTAGAAATATAGTCACATAACAAAAGTTTCAGTTTGGGGCAATGAAAAAGTTCTGGACATGGATAGTGGTGCAGGTGGCATAACAACATGAATGTCACTGAATTGCACACCTGAAAACGATCAAAATGGAAACCTTTATATTATGCATATGACAAAAAATAAAATATTGAAAAAAATTCAAATCACCCTTCTTCTCCCTGAACTATGGCATGAAAGGCAGCTGACAACCTGCAGAGCCAACCTGTCACTCAAGAAACTGCATAAACAAGTAATAAACCTTTGTTTTGCTAGCAGTAGTGTGCCTGCATGCTAAGTCGCTTCAGTCATGTCCAACTCTTTGTGACCCTATGGCATGTAGCCTTCATGTAGCTCTGTCCATGGATTCTCCATGTAAGAAGAGTAGAGTGGATTGCCAGGCCCTCCTCCAGGGGAATCTTCCTGATCCAGGGATTGAACCCACATCTCTTATGTCTTCTGCATTGGCAGATGGGTTCTTTACCATTAATGCCACAAGTGTAGTGTAGTGTTAGTCACTCAGTTGTGTCAGACTCTTTGCGACCCATGGACTGAAGCCTGCCAGGTTCCTCTGTCCATGGGGCTCTCCAGGCAAGAATACTGGATTGGGTTCCCATTCTCTTCTTCAGGGAATATTCCCAATCCAGGGACTAAACCCGGGTTTTCTGCATTGCAGGCAGATTCTTGACCTAAATGATCTTCTACTGAATAACATTTAAGAAGGCTATTTTAAATGAAAGAGTGATTTTATGACAAATTATAAATGGGATCTTATAAAAAAGAGTTCATGTATTTGATGCTCCTACAATTTGATTATATTTATGTATAGTTGTAGCCTTTGGTTACAGAATGAATCAACCAATTTTCTATTAATGAATGTGCTTAATCTCTTTACTTCCTTCCTACAAGGAATGTTTACATGACTTGAGAAAATAAAACTTTCATAATAACTTGGAATGGGAGAAAAAACTATGGCCTACAGTATTGCTGCTGCTGCTAAGTCGCTTCAGTCATGTCCGACTCTGTGAGACCCCATAGACGGCAGCCCACAAGGCTCCCCCATCCCTGGGATTCTCCTGGCAAGAACACTGGAGTGGGTTGCCATTTCCTTCTCCAATGCATGAAAGTGAAAAGTGAAAGTGAAGTTGCCCAGTCATATCCGACTCTGACTCTTCGTGACCCTGTGGACTGCAGCCTACCAGGCTCCTCTGTCCATGGGATTTTCCAGGCAAGAGTACTGGAGTGGGGTGCCACTGCCTTCTCCGATGATGAACCTAGATAGCATATTAAAAAGCAGAGACATCACTTTGCTGACCCAAGTCCATAGTAACAAAGGTCCTGACAAAGGTTTTTCCAGTAGTCATGTATGGATATGACAGCTGGACCATAAAGAAAGCTGAGCACTGAAGAATTGATGCTTTCAAACTGTGGTGCTGGAGAACACTCTTGAGAATCCCTTGGACAGCAAGGAGATCAAATCAGTTAATCCTAAAGGAAGTCAACCCTGAATATTCTTTGGAAGGATAATGCTGAAGCTGAAGCTCCAATACTTTGTCCACAAAATGTCAAGAGCTGACTCATTGGAAAAGAACCTAATTTGGGGAAAGATTGAGGGCAGGAGGTAAAGGGGGCAGCAGAGGATGAGATGGTTGGATGGCATAACTGACTCAATGGACATGAGTTTGAGCAAACTCTGGAAGACAGTGAAGGACAGGGAAGCCTGGTGTGCTGCAGTCCATGGGGTCACAGAGTCAGACAGGGCTTAGCAACTGAACACCACCATAATGTGATAATAAGTTTATGCTTATTCAAATTAGGTGACTCTAATTTATAATTGGCTATATTTACTTAAATGAATCTTACTTGCATTTGTTACATGACAATTAGATTTAGTTGTACAAAACATCAAATTTCCTCAAGATAATTCATCAAATGTTTATGGCAAGAACTAGCTACTAACTGTTTTAATGCTTTGCTGAAATAAGAATTTCATAGTCCAGTTTATCTTGATGCAAAAAAAAAAAAAAAACCAGCATTGTAAAGAATGCCTTGCATGTTCTATTTTAATAGGGACAAGAATGCAGCAAACCTCAAAAGGGTTGACTGCAATACTATGAACATATATCTCATTCTTAAGTCACAGATTTGAAATCAGGAGCCATCAAGAAAGCTAAGAAGTAAACATTTTAATTCTACTGGGAGTATATGCACTATATTCTCCATGACTGTACCTTTAGAAATAATCTATCTCAAACATTCTTGATTAAAACGTATTTTTAAGAAGTAGCTGACTTGATCTTTGCAATCTTTAAATACCATCATTATCTTAGGACAGAATGAGCAGAGCTCAACACTAAGCTGTAGGACTTAGTGCAACTGAAGTTAACCTTGCCGAGTTTTTTTTTTGGATTGCAGAGGAGTTTTAACTCTTTATTTCCCTAAAGGGCACATTCCATTTAAGGAGTTTTCAGATAGATTAATTGTGCCAGAAATGCAGATCTGTACCTGTCAGCATTATGAACAGTCATAGCTATATGCTATCTAGTACCTTTACTTTCTCAGATTATAAAATTAGTACCTGACCTATGAGTTTGGCAAGATTTATTTACACTGATTATCACAATAAAAAAATGAAGGCTTTCTCAGGGCATATTAACAATTATAAAATGTAATGGAATTTACAAATTGGGAGTACTTGTTATATGTTTAATATTTATTGAATATTAAAACTAAATTCTTGACCTTCAAAATCATAAGCACTCTGTGGCTAGCTAGCTCAGCAGTCATGCTTATGAAGTTAGAAACTGAATTCAAGTCCTGTCTAAATTCATTAACTTACTTGATCCATGAGAACTACTTTGCATCAGAAAGTCACCATGCCCCTCATTCCAAGAGGTTAGTAAATGTGAATGGATCTGCAAGACTGGTTTCAGGTAGAAAAGAATCAAAGTTAATATCGTAACAGATACATGTGATGAATATAACATTAATAGATGTTTATAAATCTAGATGCTTAGTCAATATTTTCACATATTGACACCTAATAAGGCAAAGGATTGGAAACTTAGAAATGGTCATTAACCTCTCTCCAGATATCCCCACCCTGCCAAAAGCAGAGAATTAAAAATTAATTCTAACAGTTGGCTAATTATTCTTCCTTAGTACCAACATTAGATGTATCATATGATTTGCTTTAGTGTGCCTATAATATTTGAGACAATGTGGGCAAAGTACAGATTTACAATGAATAATGGCACAGTCTTGACAGCTTTAGAAGTCTGACTAGTTGCACTTAAAACTGTCTTTCCCCCAATTATTTTATTTTTACTTTATAATTTTACGATCAAGCACTACTATTGAGTTCTATAATATAGCTACGTCTAGTTTGCCTGTATATTCTGGGCACTGAGCCAAACGTTCGGTGCAGGTGCACACACACATGCACAAACATGCACACACACGGCATACAATAAATTATTCCTGAATAAATGAAAGAAAGGCTATTAACTAGGTTTTCTCATGCTGGACTTGAAACTTTACTTAAGAACAATAAGACAAAGGAAAGCCTTGTTAGGTAATTGCTATGCAAACAGATCATTAAGTAAAATGCCAGGATGTCCTACTAACACATATATATGGAATTTTAAAAGATGGTAACGATAACCCTATATGCAGGACAGAAAAAGAGACACAGGTGTATAGAATAGACTTTTGGACTCTGTGAGAGAAGGCGAGGGTAGGATGACCTGAGAGAATAGCATTGAAATATGTATATTATCAAGTGTGAAACAGATCGCCAGCCCAGGTTGGATCCAAGTGCTCAGGGCTGGTGCACTGGGAAGACCCAGAGGGATGGGATGGGGAGGGAGGTGGGAGGGGGGATCAGGATGGGGAACACATGTAAATCCATAGCTGATTCATGTCAATGTATGGCAAAAACCACTACAATATTGTAAAGTAATTAGCCTCCAACTAATAAAAATAATAAAAAAAAAACAATCTATTTAATAATTTCTTTTTCTTAAAAGGAAGAGGGAAATAAACAAGAGGGTTTCTGTTTATTTTCGTTTAGATAATTTTACTATGATCACATGGTAACATCAATACTGGATGAAAACTCAGTTTTGAGCCATTATACAATTTTGAAAAAACTTTACTGAATGAAATATGAAAGGTCCTAGAAAACCTCATGACTTGCCCCTCTCTGTGAATTTGTTTCTTGTGTTTTTTCATACATGTTCACTTGGCATTTCTTTTATTTGCTGATTTGTTTTTAAGCTGATTGTCCAATTTCCCACTTGTAACCTTTCAAAGCTTCTAATCTTCCCTGCTTAGCAATTTCTAGTCTCCACTGACATTTGCTCATTACCAACCCCAAGACAGATGAAAGCCTCAGGAGTATTGACTATAGTTGAAAATGTATCAGCAAATGTTTCATCAAGTAACTTTTAATGGTCCTGTCTGTAGTGGATTTGTAATAATCTGAATCTTGACAATTATTTGCAACTTGTTAGTCATCTTCTAACTAGGACTTAAAAAACAAAACAAGCAAAAGATATTGGCACACCACCAAGAAACATTTTTCTCTCCTCTCCTTCATAACTGGTAACAATTAATGGCCTCTATAAATACCTAAACAAAAATAACTTCATACCTAAATAGCATTTTGGACAGTGTACTATATTAACTATGTATCATTTGTTAAGTGAAAAGTCAGGAGTTTTGGTTTGGACTGAACAGTTAATGAAGGATATTTACCCAAAATGAAATGGTAAGAGATAATTTTTAGGTAGCAATTATATTTGGTTTCTCATATCCTAGTAAACTGTATCAACACTAACAACACAGATTGTATTACTCACTGAATGTCAGGTCATAAATCGTGGTCAAGGTTTCTATAGTTTATGAACCACTGTTCTAGTGCACAGCCATGGAAATGCTATTGAAAGAATATCAATGCAGAACTGCAAAACCATGGTTCATACTTTCAGATCTGAAATTTAGCTAGAGTTTGGCTAGTTCAATACCTGTATTTCATAAATGTCAAGAGCCAAATCCAGGAAGCTTGAGATCTGTTCAGGGTCAGAAAAATCTAGCAGATAAACTAACACCAGAACCTAGATTCAGCAGACTCCTATTTTAGGGCTCTCCTCATTTTTACCAGCTAGCAGTAGTATAGACAGGGTATTGCCACTACTTTCTGAATTTGTAACTCTTAAAGCCATTAATACCTGCATATATTCAAAGATACTGCAACCAAGTCAGTCACAGAGCCAGGCAAAAAGCCATCTTTTCCTTAAGATGCTGGTCCTAAACCTTACTGTGAAAAGGCCATGTGAGTCAAACTGAAATGTGATCTTGACTCCTGAAAAACTGTTCTCTCCTTCATGTTGGTTATAGACAGAAAACTTTGGTATGAAAACAAAAATTCCAGGAGGCTTCATACCTTCATCCCTGAGCAACTGTGTTTAAGTCCAGGATGACTGAAGACACTAAATAAAAGTCTTTCAAAAGCTGTCTTCAGTAAAAGAGATCATAAATTAAAAAACCCCATCATATACAGTGTATTTCTAACTTCTGTATTTAGTAAGTGCCATTTATGTAATGTGCCTATGACAAACATTGTAAGGGATTTTCTTCTGCTTTGCCATTCCTCCAAAATGAAAGATGTCATAGGTTACGGGATACATCATTTAAGAATGTGAAAATTATTTTTATGGAATACTTTTATTTTTACTTCTAGGAAAAAGTAACTTAGATTATTTTACTCTATTTGGGGGGCCACGATCTTTCACTTTAGAGGCAAATTAGCAGCATATGGCAACACAGAATACACTGGAAATTAATAACGAAATTTACGATGGCAAAATGCTTTACAGAGATCTGCGGTGGACTCGGTCTCACCCAGATAAGAAGCATTTCCAAAACTGCTTTAAAACACATTTCAATGGCAAATTTTACAGTTTGCTATTAGTAGGCTGTTCACAAATAGATAGTACTTTGTGTGAACTAAATACTACTTCGACAGAAATCGTCAAGAAATATCTTATATTAGGAGTAATGTGTGTTGGTATGTACATTATTTATTAAAGCTAAAACCACCTTAAAGATGGGCAAGAAAACCTTGCTTTGGAAGGTTACACCCTCAAATAGCCAAAGGAAATTCTGAAATTTGTGCCTCTGCCACTCTTCTTTCCTCGGTACAACCCCCTCCACCAGACCCTATGACTCTAAAATCCAACCGATCCTACCTTAAAGCTCAACATACACTCTAACCTCCCCAAATGTCTAATCTCGTCTCTCCTTAAATACACTACTCAAAGTTTCTACACTGAAGGATGCTGAATTTCCCCAAAGGGAAATTTCCTCCCTCTCGTTTCTTTGGCCGTTTCTCTCTCATCCCTGGTCCCTCTCGCCGTCAGTCCCCCTTCCCTTTCCCTGACCTTCTAGTTCCAGCGCACCTTTCTACCTTGCCCTCTCTCCTTTCACCAAATCACACCTCGGATTCCTAGAGAGAGCACACTAAAGCGCCCTGGCTGGGAGAGAAATTAAGTGTTGTTTTTTTTTTTCTTCCCTTCGAACTCCTGGCTTGTGAGTACCTGCAGTTCCTTTTCCTGGGGGCCCCCATCCTTTTCGGGCAGGAGGTAGGGAAGCCCCTCTCTGCTTCGTCCCTCTCTGGCACACTCGGGGCTACTACGGTGGGGCGGGGCGGGGCGAGCTTGGCCTTTACTGCGCCACAGCAGGTGGGGGGTGGGGCGGTGGCGAACCGTGCCCAATCCGCTCTGGGACAGGCAGAAGAGAGGCAGCAAAGGAGATGGGGCCTCCCCCACACCCCGGGACGGGAACTCACCTTCTCTCAGGCAAGGGCGGGTGTCTACTTTAAAACTACTGCCCCCCCTCCCCGCCGCCGCCATAGTGGAACCGCCAAAGCCGCCGCCGCCAACGGTCACCAGCAGGCGGACAGGCAGGCGTGGAGGTGGCAGAGGAGGCAGGCACAATCGCTGCCGCCGCCCCCGCCGCCGCCGCCGCGCAGGCGGTGGCGGTGGAGGAGGAGGAGGAGGAGGAGGAGGCGACAGAGACGGTAGCTTCCTGAGGGGAAGACTCCGCTGTCAGCTGTGCGACAGCGCTCGACGCCGCGGCCAACGCAGCGAGGCGCCAAAAATTGCTCTTGCGCCTCACTCCTGCTAAGGTCCTCTTGCCCCGCCTCCCGATAAGCCCCGCCCCTTAGCCCCTCTTTTCCTCGCTTCAGCTCAAGCCTCTTTCTCGCTCCTTCTCTCCACCAATAGGAACGCTTCAGACCCGCGGGCCACCCCCTCCCTTCCCCCAACGGCTTGGCGTCACCAACCTCCCTTTGGAGGGGAAGCGAAGGCGGCCAAGGGCAAAGGGCAAAAAGCGCGGGATGTAAAAGCACGTGGTCTTAACACAGTGATGTCTCTTCCGTTGGAGGAGCCAATCTAAAACCAATTTAAGGAAAAGAATGTCTGGAAACCAATTTATTCCATCACCAAAATCGCTCTGAAAGATATCTTCTCCCACCTTTCTTATAGCCCTCAGTGAACAGAAAAATAGCAGAAGCCTTGGTCATAATGCATTTTCTTCATGAGCCCTAAAGTCCTGCTTAACTATGGATCTACCCATCTAAATTACAATTAAAAAACTGGAACTCCAGGACCCAACAATAAAACTAGAATATTACTTATTTGAATCTCCTCACCATCTTTTCCCCAAATTCCAAAGAAACAATTATCTTGATTCATATTAGTTGTTATTCCCATATTCTTTTTACATATGTTCCAGTACATAGATATATGCCTAAACCATGTTTTTTAGTTTTGTTTTCAAATTTGACAAAAATTTAGGTATTTTTCTAGGTAGCATTTTGGGGCTTGTTACTTTCGCTAAAATTTTATTTCTGAAGTTCATCCATGTAGCTATAGTTCATGCACTGTCAATGCTGTAAAATATCCATCCATTTCTCTGTTGATGGGTATGTGTCATGGTGCATCTGTGCAAAAGTTTCTCTTGGGTATACTCTCCTTTGCATTTTCACTTCCACAGCCGTATTTCAAATCCTCATTGTCTCTTGTCAGAACTATAAGATTTGCCTCACTGGTCTCCTTTCCTCTTATCTCAAGTCCTCCAATCTATTTCCATATTCCTGCCATTTATTACTGACTCACCTTTGCTTGTTAGACAGTCAAAGGACACAGTTTTGCACTGTTAGTCTCCCCCCTCACTTCCTATTCTGATCCCCTTCCACTGTCCCTACCTCCCCACACTGCTTTTACTTTATTTAGCAGTATTAAAATCTTCTTACAGATTCCTATAAAAGCTGTTATTTCATGATGTAATACTATTGTATATATTGCATCTTCTTCCTGAAATGTCCCCTTCCCCTGTAATTAAGCATCTTCTTACTGAATTCCTATACACCCCTTGAAATCCAAATAATATATCACTTCTTCCAGGTAACATGTCCTGTTCCTACTTAGCCTTAATTCCACCCTCTTCTGTGCTATACCTATATCATATGCGTATTTTGATTGTGTGCCTCTCTTCTCCATAGACTGGGACCATTTTGAAACAAAAGACAGTTTATTTCTGATTTCTCATGATCCAGCTCAGTGAAGTCCTAGGCAAAGGTCAAAAATCAATTGTCCCTAAGCCTAGGCCCCTAAGTCCTTAGGTCTGGCCCACAGATGTCTTCTAACTGCACAGTTATTTATTTACTTCCCTGTCAACATTTGAAACATTTGGCATTTCATACAAAAGAAAAAAGATCTTAAAAACATTTGAAGATTTGGCAGTATTTGTTGTGCATTCCTAACTGCCAACAACTGGCGGGAGCTGAATAGTAAACTCAGAGACTTGGAGTGCTAGGCTCTTAAGGACATTTTTATGTTGTTTTTGTAGTTCAATAATTTAACCAAGATTACCTGAGTCATTGGGTTTCTCTAATGTTCTTTCTTGTCCCTCTCTAAGTTAGTGCAGCATTTACTCATTGAAGAAATTACTGGAAAGATCACACACAAGAAATATTCCACTGAAACAGCCAGTAGGACAAGACATGCATAAAAGAGTGTAGCTTATCCCTTCCAGTATGGGAGGGAGAATCCCTCAAAAACATTGTTTCTCAAAATATGAATCACAGTTCATATATAACTGTATAAGAACTATTCAATCAGAATCTAGGGAGTGTGCATCTCTCAGGATTCAGTCAGCAAAAGAGAAATTGCATTAGGTATTTCAAACAGAAATTATTTAACATAAGAGAATCAGATATTTTAAAAAAATCAGGAAGGTTAGAGGAATAAAACTCAAAGGACTTTTCCAGATATTGTCAACTAGTATTGAACAGTCTTTCCATCCTCTTCTGTGTTCTCCTCTGTGTTGCAGAAGCTGGAAGCCTATGAATTACATTTCCCAGACTTTTTGGTCAGCAGGATTCTGAATATGGTTTAGGATTCTGAATATGGTTTAGGTCTCACCAGTGGTACACATTTTAGAATAGAATGGAGGCCATTCTTTACATTCACTCAAATAGATGTAAAACATGAGTTTTTGTAGTGGTCTCAAAATTCTTCTGCACAGCTTATACCCAACTTATACAGGCTTTGGAGGACCTGTAAGGTTAGCAGTGGTTTACTTGAACCTGCTGACCTCTGTGTGATAGTTACAATTTCCTGTCTTTGGACTATGCTGCTGCTGCTGCTAAGACACTTGAGTCATGTCCGACTCTGTGCGACCCCATAGACAGAAGCCCATCAGGCTCCTCTGTCCCTGGGATTCTCCAGGCAAGAACACTGGAGTGGGTTGCCATTTCCTTCTCCAATGCAACAGTGAAGTGAAAGGGAAGTCGCTCAGTCATGTCCAACTCTTAGCGACCCCATGGACTGCAGCTTACCAGGCTCCTCCATCCATGGGATTTTCCAGGCAAGAGTACTGGATTGGGCTATAGCAGCCAACAAATACTAATTAAGATACAGTTACTTCTTCCTTCTTAGGCTCAATGGAAACATTTGTGTTTTGTCTTCTGTTCAATCAAACAGTAAAAAGAGGGGAGAAGATATTGCATGACATTAAAGAAAGTAGTTAATTTTCTCCCCCTTCCCCAACTCCATTTGGTGACATGCCAAATACCACCGAATCTGAGTAATACACTAGGACAATAAGCACCTACTTTCCTGTCTTCCTCTACACTTCTCATTGTTCTCTATGACTGTAATGCTATTAAGTGAATGGCAAAATAGTTTCTTTCACAAGAGAAAGGAGGTGGAATGTAGCAAAGAGTAACAGTTAATGAAAGCCTCCTATGGGCTAGACTTCCATAATTTCCCAGTCATCTCACAACAGTGATGTTGAATTGGGTTCATTAACCTCATTTAAAGAATGCACTCAGATTCATGGATATAACTAACTTTTCCCTGGTTTTCAATTTAGTGATTGAAATGGTCTGCTTATATCACTGGACCACGGGGAGAGGGACAGTATTGGCTGAAATGAGTTTTAACTACTGACTCCTAAAATCACAGAAAGAAAATGGGGGAGGGGGTGTGTGGAAGTGGGTCTAAGATGTAGGTCAGAGTTGCCAAAAAGAAATAAAGGAGTGTATCTTTGAATATTTGAGAAATCAATAAGGAAAAGCATACCAATAGTTATTTCACTATTTCTATGGTGAAACGTAATATGCTTGGAATAATATGGGGAAATTAAAAATTGCATTGCCAAACACAATACACTTAAAGATATCAGAAAATGGAAGAAATAATTAGAATATAATTTAGTGGCATATAACTAATGTGATTTACATAAAAATGAACATGACTAAGTAGAACAGTAATATTCAAATTTATCAACAAATAAATCAAAGGTGAAAAACAATTGCAGTCAAATATCCAAAGTTGCTCAGTACCAGCAAATTAAAGAAAAGCAAATAGACACATTGATATTTACAAATAAGAAAGACATAAAATAGCATGTATAATGTAACAAAGCTTTAAATAAAAATATATGCATATGAATATACAGATATAACAATTGAATTATGTACAAACACACATTCAATGTATCTGCAGAATACTAGGAGTATTTTAGATTTCTCCATTGTTGAAGCAGTAATATAGATAAAATTATGACAGCACAAGATGTATCTCATTAAGAACTGATGTTATATGACCCAATCAAAAAATGGGCCAAAGAACTAAACAGACATTTCTCCAAAGAAGACATACAGATGGCTAACAAACACATGAAAATATGCTCAACATCACTCATTATCAGAGAAATGCAAATCAAAGCCACAATGTGGTACCATCTCATGCTGGTCAGAATGGCTGCTATCAAAAAGTCTACCAACAATAAATGCTGGAGAGGGTGTGGAGAAAAGGGAACCCTCTTACACTGTTGGTGGGAATGCAAACTAGTACAGCCACTATCTCCACAGTGTGGAGATTCCTTAAAAAATTGCCATACGACCCAGCAATCCCACTGCTGGGCATACACACTGAGAAAACCAGAATTCAAAGAGACCTGTATACCCCAATGTTCATTGCAGCACTGTTTACAGTAGCTAGGACATGGAAGCAACCTAGATGTCCATCAGCAGATGAATGGATAAGAAAGCTGTGGTACATATACACAATGGAATATTACTCAGCTATTAATTAAAAAGAACACATTTGAATCAGTTCTAATGAGGTGGATGAAACTGGAGCCTATTATACAGAGTGAAGTAAGTCAGAAAGAAAAATACCAATACAGTATATTAACGCATATATATGGAATTTAGAAAGATGGTAATGATGGCCCTATATGTGAGACAGCAAAAGAGACACAGATATAAAGAACAGACTTTTGGACTCTGTGGGAGAAGGCGAGGGTGGGATGATTTGAGAGAATAGCATTGAAACATGTATATTACCATATGTGAAATAGATGACCAGTCCAATTTCA